GGTCACGCTTCTCAGGGCTAGCCTAACCCTTAACTTTGCCTGACAAACGGCGACGGAGGACGACGGCGGACGGCGGCAACGGCGACGGCGACGGCGGAGGGGAGGCGACCACCAGGGTTGGGTCGCTCTTCTCAGGGCGAACCTAACCCTTAACTTTGCCTGACAAAAGGCGACGGAGGACAACGGCGACGGCGACGGCGGAAAGTGACAGGGACAGCAGTGGCACACTGGGTCTGGCTCTTGATACCATGTTAGAAAACTAACTGAAACATTTTATTCATTCATTCACTCTTACAAGGTTTTGGTATTCTATATATATATAGAATACCATGACAGAATACAATCCACCTCTTAAGTTGGGTGCGCACACACAAAAACAACATAAACTTAATACATTTCATAAGTTATATTACATCAGTCTACTTGTCCACACACCATAACAAAATGGTATAGTAGAAAGGAAAAATAGACACTTGGCTGAAATTGCTTGTACCCTATTACATGGTGTCAATATTCCTATCTATCATTGGAAGATGTCATCCTAAATGCATGTTTTCTTATCAATCGAATGTCATACTCTTCACTTAATAATAATGTTGTTTGTTGCATTCTCTTTCCAAATGATCCTCCTTTTCAAGTTTCTCGTATTTGGTTGTATGTTTTGTTCATGAAATGTCTCTAGGGTTAGATAAACTTTCTGCTTGTGCTATTGTGTTCATGGGTTATTCTTGACTTCAAAAAGGGTATCAATGTTATCCTTACTAATGTTACCTTTTTTGAACAAACTCCTTACTTACTCTCCACATAACTTCCAATCCAGTATTCCACGAGAGAACTAAACACAAAAATTAACTATCATTTTATTCGAGAAAAATTGTTGTCTAAAGAAGTTTGTACGAAGTTTGTCAGATCAAACGATCAACTTGCACATATGTTAACCAAGTCCCTAAGGAGACCTAGGATTTAATTTATTTATTCCAAGCTTCGTACGTACATACTCCAGCTTGAGAGAGTGTTAGAATAAGAAAATGCTAGTTGTAGGTTAATGCTAGTTGTATGTTAATTATTGCTAGTTGTGTGAGTTAGATGCTTTAGTGGCTTTTCAATTCATAGAGAGTTGTCATTCTATATTTACACGGGTAGAGGAAGGGTGTGAATTATCCCCTCAAAAACATATTTTTCTGTTTAATATTAAGTACTCCTAATAAGAAAATAGCTAAAAGAAAATAGGAAAACAAAGTAGAACATAGCTGTCCAATCTCTTGCAGCAAACATCAGCATAGTATCAGAGAGAGGCCATAAAATAATCTAAAGAACAAAATCTGGCAGAGAAAAGACAGTATGAAAATAAGGAATTCCTGTCCCAACCAAATGCTCCAACTAATCTGTACACTCATTTCCATATAATCATTTTTTTATGGAAGAACATATTTCATTAAAGGGAACGGCTGAAAATGGGAAGACAGGGAATCCTCCACAAACTCAAAAACATTAAACAAAACCAAAAAAAGGAGTCAAGAGGAAACCTAAGAGGATGCAGTGGATTAATATTTCAAAACATTTTGAAAGACTTTTCTTTTTAGAAAAAAACAAGTTCTATAAGCCAATCAAGACTTTCAAATATATGAATAAGTCTGACAGTATACAACTAAGATAATTAGGATATTTTAAGGAGGGTACTGCAATTCAGTGGTATTGCATTCAGATTGTTTACAACTAATAAAAGTTTGTTGGTATTGATTTATCAACTTGATGAGGAATGTTTCAGGAATCATAGACAATTAGGAGGTTAAAAATATCTCTGTATTTATTCTTTAGATATTTGCTTCCCTGGTGTTGTTGTTTCCTTATTCCCTATATTGTTATTGCCCCTTTTAAGCATAGTCGTTTACCCATAAGATGGAGATTAGTGAATGTAAAAAATACAATAATTAATGTACATCCCTTTTCTAAACTTATTTTAAGGCTAACTCATAGCAAAACAGCAGAATTCAAATCTACTTATCTATCCAACAAAGCCTAATAAGAACTCTATGTAATGCATACAGTTATAAAGAGTGAGATAAAAAATTATTGCCTGAATTTGTCATTTTCAATAATTCAACTATTCTATCAATAGTTGCTTCACAGATCATCTCCGAAGAAAAAACAGCACCAGCAGTTGGCATTTGAGATGAAAGTCTATAGCAAGGTGCCAACACCAGCACGCGTCTCCACCAATCAGGTGATGGTGTAGTACGTAAAGCATGCCTTATACAACGTACAGCTCTCTCCCAGTCCAAACTTCCCTTCTGAATAGAGGATGCGATATCCTATACACAGCATTAAGTGACAAAATTACCAATTCAGGACAAATTCTCAGAGTGTAAAATAGCTTAGTTACATGCTAGTATGTTGCAAACCATATTAGCATACCTGTCAACTACATTCAAGTAATTAAAAGAAATAAATGCGCAATTATGAAAATACATTCCAATAAAACAGAATATTAGACAGGAAACTAGAAAAATTTAAATGAGAAAAGTCAATTAATCATACAAACAAGAATAATGAAATACTGAAAAGAAGGCCGGTAAACAAATGTCACCAATCATAAATGAAAAATGGATTGTAGAAATTAAACATTAGCAAATGTCCACACACAATAGATCAATCAAAACCAATATAGTTATTCCATATTATTGAAATGAAAGAGAGACATAAGTTGAATATCGTGTATTGAGCACATAGGGTTGTATTATGCATTTATAAATAGGAAAATAAAAAGATATAGGCAAAAGCCCGTTATATCTCACACATATCACAGAGGTGAAGTCATACATAAAAACAAAAATAATAATCAAATAAGCATTTATATATTTAATTACAATGTGATTGCTAGAGGATAGAACTCACAATAGATAAAGCCATAAAGCAAAGCATCACTATTACACATCAATTAAGTCTACGCCTCCAATTGAAAGTTCACAATTTAAGAACTAGTGTGAAACCATCTAACTCTTTCATGCACGAGGATATTCAAAACACAATAGCCATCAAATAATCAGTTTTGAGATTCACACCTCTGTCCTCTTCTAAATAACAAAATTACAAAACTCTCATAATTTAGGGTAGAATCTTATATTATTATTGTGCTGAGAATACAATCCATATATACAAGGCTTACAAGGCTTGGAAGCTATTTTAGGAAGCATAATAATAACTCCTAGACAATCAGATCCCTATGATTGAGGAATATCCCCATTATTCACAATAATTATAATCTGCTAAATAAGGAAAAAATATAACTAATAAAAAACAATGATTTCTGACAGAAATAAAATAGATTCTAACAAGAACCATACTTCATACTGAAGTTATAAACAACACTACAGTTTATGCATGGAAGTATAGAAAACTCATTAGTTCAAAGAGCCTATGCTAATTGATGGATGTCACAAACCACCACTTATCAAAAGCCTTTTCAAATAAAATATAAGATCTCAATGAATAATTTGAGCTTAAGAATAGACAATCCTCATAATTTTTTACTTAAATCTGCTATCACTAATCAAATAGTAGTCACAAAATCAGTAAGCAAAATCCAAAAGTAGATTTAAACTGGGGGCATATCCTGAATCAACAACTTCACTATAAATGGGAATTGTTGAACAATACAGAAGAGAAAGACACTGAGCTGAAAAATGAGACAGCACTGATACTTTATTTATAGTAAGAAAATGGAATCAAAACAATAAATAAAGGAGATTTGATATACTTAATAATGAAGATATGACACGGGAATAAATAAAATCATTACTAATACGACATATATGATATAGATATTCTTTATTATACAAGATATGCTCCTTTTTTCAACGACTGTAAAAGGAACGTCATGAAAAATACAAAAAAATACACTACAGCTCAATAAAAGCAGCATAGCAAAATAAAGACAATGAAATGGGAAACTTTCATTCTATCACCAAATGGACTGCATACACTTGTAATAATTAAAATTAAATTCATTAAAATTATTATAAGCATTCCAGGCCCTTATTTTTTGTATTCAACTCTTGGCTGACTAAGTGGTTACTTTCTAACACTTGAGATTAAAACTGATAAAATATATTCTTGAGGGCTTAACAGATCCCTCTCATTATCTTCTATATATATTGAAAACACAAGAGTACATGGAACATCAAGAGTTTGCACTAGACCTCTAAGTACAGAACTAGGTACTACTCATTACTGGTCTAGCAGACTAGCCTTAATGATGATATGTAACAGTAATTATTCTAACACTCCCCCTCAAGCTGGAGCATACAGATTGTATGTACCAAGCTTGGAACAAATAAACTCAATCCGAGGTCCCCTTAATGACTTAGTCAACACATCTGCGAGTTGGTCATTTGATCCAACAAACTCGGTACATATATCTTTTGACAATAACTGTTCCCGAACAAAATGACAATCAATTTCTATATGTTTAGTTCTCTCGTGAAACACTGGATTTGATGCAATGTGAAGAGCAGCTTGGTTATCACAATACATCTTCATACTCTAGATGTCACAGAAGCTAAGCTCTTGAAGGAACTGCTTCACCCATATAAGTTCACATGTTAGTGACGTCATTGCCCTATATTCAGCTTCAGCTGTTGATCGAGACACTACATTTTGTTTCTTACTTTTCCATGAGATAATGTTTTCTCCAAGGAAAACACAATATCCAGTAGTAGATCGTCTATCAATAAGAGAACCTGCCTAATCGGCATCACAATATCCTAATACCTGAAGGCTTCCTTTCTCTTCATATAACAGCCCTTGCCCGGGAGCCTTTTTCACATACCTTAGAATGTGAATGATAGCATTCCAATGGCCAACACATGGAGCTTGCATGAACTGACTAACCACTCCAACTGCAAAAAGATAGATCCGGCCTTGTAATAGTGAGATAGATTAGTTTTCCAACTAGCCTCCTATATCTCTCTAGGTCGGAAAATAACTCACCTTCTTTTGTTGTTAATTTTTTATTTGAGTCCATAGGACTGTCAACCGGCCTACAATCAATCATGCCTGTTTCTTGCAAAATATCCAGAGCATACTTCCTTTAGGAGATTACAACTCCATCTTTTGACTGAGCTACTTCAATGCCTAAGAAGTATTTGAGGCTTCCAAGATCCTTGGTTTGGAAATGTCTACGCAAGTACTCCTTCAATTGAGATATTCCAGCAGTATCATTTCCTGTAATGACTATATCATTAACATATACTATTAAGTAAACACATTTTCCGAGAGACGAATGATAATAAAAGACTGAATGATCTGTTTCACTGCGTTTTAGCACAAATTTTTTAACAATGGAGCTGAATTTTCCAAACCAAGCACGTGGTGATTGCTTGAGCCCATATAGAGATCGGTGCAATTTGCAAACCATACCAGACTCCCCCTGAGCAACAAACCCAGGAGGTTGCTCCATATAAACTTCTTCCTCAAGATCACCATGGAGAAAGGCATTTTTGATATCCAATTGATGAAGTGGCCAATGACGAATGGCTGCCATTGCAAAGAAAAGACGAATGGTAGTCATCTTGGCCACGGGAGAAAAGGTGTCACAATAATCAAGGCCATAAACCTGAGTGTATCCTTTTGCAACTAGTCAGGCTTTTAGCCTATCAATGTCACCATTAGGGCCGACTTTAACTACATATACCCATCGACAACCAACAGCCTTTTTGCCCGGGAGGAGTGGCACAAGCTCCCAAGTATTACTGTGATCAAGAGCCTGCATTTTTGCAATCATGGCTTGTCGCCATCCAGGATGATCAAGTGCTTCTTTCACATTTTTGGGTATAACCACAGAAGACACTGAGGATAAAAGGGAATAAAAGGAGGACGACAATCTGTGATAGCTAAGAAAATTATAAATGGGATGAGGGTTTCGAGTGGAACGAGTACCTTTTTTGAGAGCAATGGGCCAACCAGAATCATCTTCACCAGGAGGCGTGGCAGGAGGCGGTGAGGGAGAAGAATCTGAAGGAGGAGATCCACCATTTTCTGGAAGACGACTACCCATCGGGGTACTGGGTCGGAAGATATCAATATGTGGAGAGGAAGGTTCGGGAGGACCTTGAGCATGACTTGGATTGACTGAGACATTTAAGATATAGGAGGCTCAGGCGACAGCTATGAAGGTGTCGCGGTGACTTTCCGATGGGCAAAGGGCGGTGCGTGAACAGTACGCACCTGTTCGCAGCGCACAAAGAAGTTGCGTGTGGCGTGGAGGAGAATCAGACTCTAGCACCGGTGGGGGTGGTCGTCGCGTGAAGAGACGAACCAGATCTAGTGGTCGCCGAACGGAACAGTGACGGCGGATGGCGGCGAACGGCGGCGAACGGCGGCGGACAGATGCGAGATGGCAGGGAACCAAGTTGAAGAGCTTCAAACTGAGATTGACAGCTGCAGATAGTGACAAGACAACCGCGGACAACGGCAAAGGGCACCGGACAGATGCGAATAGCAATGACAATGACAATGCTGGTGGACAACCAGGACAGAAACCAGAGCAGAATGAACCTGCTCTGATACCAACTTGAGATTAAAACTGATAAAAATATATTCTTGAGGGCTTAACAGGTCCCTCTCATTATCTTCTATATATATTGAAAACACAAGAGTACATGGAACATCAAGAGTCTGGACTAGACCTCTAGGTACAGAACTAGGTACTACTCATTACTGGTCTAGCAGACTAGCCTTAATGATGATATGTAACAGTAATTATTCTAACACTAACTACTGATGCCACAAAATATTGCAGTTAAAATTCAATACAAGTAATGGAGTAGAAAACAATTATTATATTCATCTTTCCAACTAGAGATAGGAAGTGTTTTTATAAGTATCTATGTTGTCTGAATTACAAGATATCAAGAGTGAAGCAAGTTATCAAAGACATATGTCACATACTAAATAGCATATGCTTCTATCCTTAACTAGTCTTCTGACAATTTTCCAGAACATGATACCAATGATAATAATAGTACTTGGTATTTAAAAACATGCTCATACATCACTAATGAACATCTTGAAATGGAAATGAGATCCATCACCTCTCCATGCAATGGTTCTCCAAGTACACTTGAATATGTAATTGGTGATAGTCGCATGTGGGTTACAGCTTCACCTGAAACAGTAGGTGTCGTCTGAGTCAGGATCCGATGAGTCCCAAAGGTAGGGCAATGAAGATGTTGATCTAACATTTGCATGTGCATAGCCATCATATCTCGTCTCCTATGGATCTCCAAGATAAGAGTGAATAGTGCTTCGTCATCAGGAATATTTTCTATGAATTGCAAATCACTACGTAACAATTCATAGAAGGGTACCCGACATTTTCCCTCATCAACTAAAAGCCAAATCACATCCAGACAACTGTGTAGCCATGCAATCACAGATTTGTCAGGTCTCCACGATTTTATAACATCAGATTCATTGATTCCCTGTTGCCTCTGGTCCCAATTCAACAACCAATTTAGCATATGGTTGAAAATTTCCGCATAAGTCACTGGTTTTAAACTGAACTCAAGACCAATTAAAATGATCTTGCAACATAGCTGACGAAGGCTACTATTACTGATATCATTATTTCTAACAGATGAACCACCTCTTAGTTTAGATTGTTGTCCAGCAGAGGAAATATCAGATGATTTGACAGGAGACATAGCTGCACATGATAATGGTTCTATCGTTGACTGAGCAGGGGAGCCAATAGCATGAACAGATGTCAAAGGAGATGCAGGATTTGAAGACTGAAAATTAGAAGAATTAGCAATCGTGCTTGGAGGTGGCAGCATTCCCGTCTGTGATAAGCTCGATGAGGAAACAGTTGGCACTGCTTGACTCAGTTGACCAACAGGTAATTCTGCAGAAGAAACCGAGGAAAGAAGGGACTGCAGAAGGGAGTCCCAGTTAATGCATCCAATACCACATAAGCCACGTAAAACAAAAAGAAGAAAGTCTGCCCTTGGTCCATGGCCACTACACTGCACTACAAGCGATATAAGAATTGCTTCTGTAACAGAGCGTAATTGATCTTGGTCCTGAAAAGAAACCATGTAATCAACAAATAAACAACATCAACCAAAGTTTTACCACATGGTGAAGTCGACTGCACAAATCAATCAACGCCACAAATTTTGTAGTAAATCACGCTTATAAAAAAACTATTAGTCACTCAATCCTTCTAAAATAAAATAAAATGTCATGTTTTTTAAATTAAAACAAACCAAAGTCAACACAACAAAAATTGCAACATATAATTTCAAACTCACAGGAAACTGGCTCTGGAGTTGCTCAAAATCTAGAATGAATTGCTCATTTGGTGGAGGAAGCTCCCGATTAAGTGCGTGTACACGTTTCTGAGTCTTGTTCCTGAAAGTAATCATTCCAACTTTGAAAAATTTAAGAAGGCGCAAAACAAAAACATACCACACAACCCTACTCATCATTATGCCTATTTTTGGAAGACAAAATAAGAAAAAACAATTAAATAAGTTTTTCAATAAGAAAAATTTAGTTAAAATTTGTCTTCTAAAAACAATAATGTGATAAAGTTTCTATAAATTAACCTGTTAATAATTTAACTTTAACTTATGGACAAGTTTAATTCAACTTTTCTTCGTTGAAGAAATTTATCTAATCATACCCTAAATATTGTAAAGTATATGTTTCTTTGAACAAGTTTATCCATTCAGACCCTAAATATTGTAAAACTCATGCGAAAAAATTCTCACATTTCTTATTCACCAACTTTGGGAAATAAATAAAAACACTGAATTGGAAAGTAATCATTCAGAACTTAAGTACAATAAGTAATTCAGAAAACAAAGCGCTGTAAAAACTATAATAATTATGACAACTATTATTATGCAGATGTAGAATAAAAGCATTCGAACATTTCAATATCGAAAAAACCTATAACCACGTTTGCATAAAGCATTAAGTGAAAGCAGTTCTTTGCGTCAAAAATCACCGGTGCAAATCGTGATAAATTCTCAAAGTTCCAGCAGCAAATTTAGAAAAACGTAACAATTACAGAGTGAGAGAACTTACGGTGGTTCGCGAAGTGATTCTTCGGGTTTGTGGCGGCTATTTCGCTGTGAAAATGAAAAAAAAAATGAGAATGAAAAGGAAAAAACATAGAGAAAGAGTAGAAGAAGAAGTAGAAGAAGAAGACGACAGACGAAAAAGAGAGGAAGAGAAAATACGCCGAGTCCTAAGTAGAGGTTGAAGAGATCGAGAATGGTGCCACGAGCAGGGTGGAACTGGAGAGAACGCGAAGGTGTTGTCGATGTAGCTGGTCGCTGATTCTGTGATTGATCCATTCTTCGACTTTCATTCAATTGGAGTGTGCAATCGAGGTTCTTTATATATATTTATGGTTGAATGTAACGTAACTAAGATGTTCTGAAGTTGAACTTATGCTCGGAATTGCGCCACTGAGGAAAGCCATTTGGGTCATTCAATGTGATTAGGATGGATCCTAAAACGGGTCGGGTTCGGCTTTTTCATTTCCTTTTTATCTTTTAGTCTCGAGTAGGAAAAATAAGTACAAAGGAAGAGTATGTTAAAAAAAAAGTAGGTACATTTTTAGAGTATGCTGGAAAAATGTCAAATATTTGTAGTTATGTATGTATGGGATGATGATTGAAATTTATAAAAGGTTTTTTTTAATATATAATTATTAATCTAAAAATTTGAGGCATTAGATATGTATATGGATTTAATTTCTATGCATTAAGAGAGTTTTGATTTTGATTCAAGTTGTTTTTTTTATATATAAAATTTAAAATCTTTGTTTGAGTCCCTGTATAATTTATGAATTTTTGTTTTAATTTCTGTAAATAATTTTCTTTGTTTTTCACCATTTTGAAATTCGAAATTACTAATTTTGTTCTTAATATCCCGTTTAGGGCATTATATACTAGTATACTAATTATTACAATTTGAAGTGATTATTTGTTTTCAATACATAGGCAATAAATGGATTCCACGTAATGTTAGAAGACAAAAGTATAATTTTTAATTTTAATAGTCTGAAAATAAAGTAAAACTTCTTTCATTTATAATTTTCTATATACAATTAATAAGTTGGATTATAGAAATGGGTGAAAATACATTTAGAAATATGATTAAAAACAATAAAATATAATATCTAACATCAACTTTGAAAAAATCAATAAAGTAAACCATATAAGTATAAAGAAATAAAAAAATAGCATTTGAAAATATTATATATTTAAATATAATATTCTTTTTAAAATAAAAATAGAAAGTTATTTTATAAAGGCTTAATACCAATTTTAGTGCTTAATGTTAGTTGTATTTAAAGTAATCCTCCTATCTTAGTTATATTTAAAGTGATTCTCCTATTTTTGAATTGTTGATAGTAGTTCCATGTTTTGTGTAAAAATGGTTCAATGGTTCTTTTTACTAAGGATGTTAAAAACGGCATATTGTCCACCTTAGTCAATATTGACGGTCTAGTTATTCATTATGTGGCAAGCTTAGGTAAATTATCCTTTACCTTATTCAAAATTTTAGAAACTCTTGACTTCCATTTTCGGGACTTCCTCTTTCTTGAACAAACCAAGTAGTGTGTTCCTCATCGCTCATGGAGACACCCTCCTCCTTCATCTCCTTTGTTTCTAGGTTGACATCGTAAGAAACTTTTCTTTTTCCTTCTTCTTGTTCTAGTTTTGTTCATATTAGGACTTTGAATTGAGTTTCTATTTTTGGGATTATGATCTTGTGACGTTGGGTTTTCTTCCTTGAATTGGGTTTATGTTTTATTTTCTCTACAGGTTGGTAGTGTAATGGTGGAGTTTCTTCGTGATTTTGTGATTTGGGGATTTTAGGGTTTTCGTTTGGGATTGAGAGTTCTGATTTGGGAATTTCTTGTGTCTTGTTTCTCCTTTGCATTTTGTTAATGTGATTTAAGGGTTAGGGTTTTTGAATTGGGGGTTTGTTTTATGATTTCACTTTTTGGGATGATCTACCGTTGTAGTTTGATCTTGCACTTTTGGGGTTTTTGGAATATGTGATCTTGCTTTTTGAAGTTTTTTGTGTTTTGTTTTTTAAATAAAGCTTTAATGATGAATTGCTTCTAACCTAATTGTTATTTTCTTTAACTTTTTCACATCAATATATTTAACTTACATCTCAATTGACATGAGCTTGCCACGTAATGATTTGGAATTTGATTTGGAATTTATAGGTTTATTATTTCAACTTGATTGACTAAAATTTGTTTTATATTGGTTGTGTTATGTTTTGTGTGCCTTAATTATTTGTTAGAAATTTTGTACATATAAGGTCAACAATATTTGAGGTTGTATATTTTTCAATTTCGTTTGAAATTTATACTATAGGTTATCCCTTATACTATACTAACATTGATCATATTTGCCAATCTTTTTGAATTGTAGAGGTCATTTGTCCACTATATAAGGAGGTCATTTGTGCTTTCTCCATGATGTTTCCCACACAACATATATGTTTATGCAAAACTTGATACCTTTTAGCATTTGCAAATGACAGTCCTCTACATCAATTGAACTAGTTTATGGTTCGATAAATAGGACAGGTTTTAGTTCTTCGGAATTATGCTTAGAAGGACACGCCTTAAGTTTCTCAAAACCATCACTTTCTCAAAACCACCATCATTGATACGGGAAACTTCTTAATACGTCTTCTTAATCTTTGATAAGAATTAGAATTGTAATCCAAAAACCAAGAGAATCCTCACTCAAAGAATGCAAATGTATATAATATGACTCAAAAGTGTTTACATCAACTTTTAGTACCTATATATAGGCACATAAGTTTGAGAAAACCTATAAACCCTAAAATAAAGCCCAAAACACATAAAAATAACATAAAACGAAAATTACAGATATAAACTTTCGCCTAACGAGGTCCGCTCGCCCAACGAATTTAACATTATGTAAAATTAAAATAAAATTACAATTTATTTAATTTCCTAAATTCTTTATTTAATTTCCTAAATTATTCTTTAGTTATGCTCATGATCTTCATGTTATTCAGGTTTTCTTCTTTATGAAACATTATAAAAATTAAGAGACATGTTTTTATCTTTGATCTTGTCCTAAATCCCTTAAATTGCAAATCTTATTCTTAAAGTTTTTCTTATAAATGTTGGGGAGATAGTTTTTTATCATATCCTTATTTTTGAAGATAATTTATCTTCAATTTTGTACCACTTGAAAGATTCCTTTACAACATGTATTGTCAGACAATTTTGTCTAAAATTCATTAGTGAAATAGACCAACAAATTCCCAAAGTTATAACAATGTTTTCAATAATCTACATAAAAGTAAACACCTTGTCCAACTAACGTGAGTCAATAACAAAAAACAAATGAAACCCTAAAATCAAAAACAAAATAGGGGTTTCCAAAACTAAAATGAATACAAAGACAAAAAAAAAATAATCAAACCACAATAATCAGATATATACGGATGTGTAAACATTGTGCAATTTTCTTATCACCAGTGTCTTCGAAGACGCCAACACCACACTACCAAAAACCAAAAACAACTAAGTCAATGATAAAAGAAACAAAGGGAAAGGATGGCAGAGCAATAAAAACTTATCACACTACAATGCAAACAACACGCCAAAACAACGAGGGAAGGGAAAATAGGGCACACCAACGAAAGCCTAACAAACAACAATTCGAACAACGTGAGAGAGCTTTTCCCTCAAATGGAAGTGTATCCTCAATGGAAGGAAAACCGAATAGAAGAGGGGACGACAAATAAACAAAAACCAACACAATCTAATGCAAACAAGGTACTAAAAGAACAACATGAAACTAAAAACAGGACATACCAAACAATACGACAATTGATTTTTATAATTTTTTTAATGTCTGGAGTCTATCGCTTGTTATAGCTCATAATGGTGCAAGATATTATATATCTTTTCTCTATGCTTACTCAAAATATACTTAGTTATATCTTATTAAAACTAAAAGTTACTTCCATTTTTGAGTTTTTTAAAGGTTTGTATGTAAACCAAACAGGTTGAAAAGAGTTTTTATGTTCAAATTCATTAAAAAGTTATAAAATTGTTAAAAAAAAGAGTTTAAATATATTAAAAAAACAAAAAGAAAGTTATGTTGTTATTTACAAAAGTCTAAGAAATCCAAAGTGTCCTGATAATAATCAAGAAACTCTGTCTTAAACACACGTAAACACCATCTTTGTTTTGTTGAACTTTTTCGATTAAACCTTAGACGTCAACAAAAGTGTTTAAAGCAAAAAAGAAACATATGCTTCTTAGAAGAAGAAAAAATAATTAATATTTATGTTTGATGTTGTAAACAATGAACCTTCAAATCTTCCATTCTCAAATCGTCTTCGACTTTGCTTTCATCACTATCTTTAACATAGTCAATACCGTTTGAAATAAGAAAAATTAGGTAGACAAAAGTTGTTCACGATATTGTGGATAAATGATTTTAGATTTGGAACATGCATAACTTTTTTTCACACTATTTGGAGGACAGAAATAAAGAAAAAGCAAGTTTTCAAAGAGTAGAATATATGAATAATCACTAAGTCAAAAAAAAAAAATACTCTCCACTTCACTAGTTTCTCCTATCTCAAGCCTTCTAAATTCAAACTAAAAAACTTATAAAATAAAATAGGGTAAGTAAGTTCCCAACTTCCTTGTTAAATAGAAAAATAAATTTGTATTATAACGATATTTTTAGTAAATAATTAAATAGTTGTAAAACCGTTTTAAATATATTTTTGGCAGTTCAAATTTAATTTGGAGAGACACTGCTGCCTTATATAAACACAAAATTGAAATGAAAGTAAGAAAACTTTACTTTGGTTTTTATATTTAATTATAAGATTCATTTCAATTTCAATATACTTGTATTCAATTGAATTTAATTGTGTTTAAAAAATATAGTTAATTTAGTCTATTATTTTACATTAACGTTTACATTGTTTAAAAATGTTAAAATTTGGATCATCTTTACTAAAATCTGTCTAGACACATAATCTTTCAGTTTTTAACACCTAACACTTTGAAACACAATACTTTTCACATGTCATTAAAGCGTATAATAGAAGAACAAAATTCACTCTATCAGAAAATACTAATATTTAATTAAATAAAAAAACATAAAAATTAAACTTAAATATATGAACTAAATTACTAATTAAACTAAAATGATTATAAATGAATATAAACTTTCTAGAAGTAAATATAATTGTAAAAGGAAATTAGAGTATTAGTCTTATATGTTGTATCATATAGAAAATATATACTATTTTTTAAGGAGATTTATATGATCTTTATTAATAAATTATAAATTTAGTATAGAAAAGAAATAAAAAAAGGCATATTTGAAATCTTTTCATAAATGACAATTAAAAAGATGATGAAATGATGAACAAAAATATGGAGGCTATAACATGATTTCACAGTTTAAGCTTGTCGGGTTCACGTTTAATATATTCTAAGCATATATAATGCTCATGATGTTAAATATAGGTTTTATTTAATTAATTATTTGTCATTAATTATTTAATAAGAAAATAACTCCTTACAGGACTTTAAAAAAATAAGAGTGACCTAAAAGTAAACCTGAGTGGAAATTTTCCCACACCCGTCAAACTTAAAAAAAACGTGAAAAATTGCCTAAAGTTCTCCCCCTTTGAAAATAACTCTGAAGTAAGACCATTCTCATTTCCCCTTAATCACACCGCTAACACCATTCTCTGAATACAACACCATTGCCTCGGTTGCCCGAGTTCCTCTTTGTCACTGCCGTTCGATGGTCACCTGAGTTCCACCTTGTCACCGCCGTTCGATCGTTGTCCTTCGAGTTCCACCTTGTCACCGTTGTTGGATCGTGATTCCACCTTGTCAGTGCTGTTCGGTCGTTGTCCTACGTGTTCCACACTGTCACCGCCGTTGGTTAGTATGCAAGTTAGGGTTTTATTTGGTTAGGTTAATTGTTTCAATTTGCATTTTTTTTCGTTGCATAAATAATAAGTAGTTAGTTAATAAATAAAAGCAAGACTATTACTGGTGACATACCTTGTAAATGAATGGAATGTAATTTTTTTTAGAATTATTACTCTACTGTCATAAAGTATGCAAGCATGAGGGTTGGTTTAATTAGGAGTAAAAGTTGAATTAAAAACACATTGGAATGGGTAAAGCGTGCAATTTTGTTGCTAGGTACAAGTGATTACATTATTTCAGACTTGTATTTGGATTGCTTATCTTTTTGGATATCTGATTAATTTGTGTACTTTCTATTTGCCTAATAATTCCTGGATATGATATTGCCCTCATATGATATACATGTTCATCTGATGAAATGTGGTTGAGAGAATGTGAATTAAGCCTGGCAGAATAACTTGAGAACTGAAAATGTTATTTATGTAAGCTGTTCTTTTTGCGTGACACTAATGCCTTGCTGCACTGATACCTCTTGTACTATGATAGTCACTAACATTGCTATATGGTTATAAGTCTAGATTAAATGAACACTTTAGTGTTGTCTAGAATATAGGATTTAACGACAGGGTCTGATGGGTATTATTGCTTATCATATTCTGTTCTTTCTCAAAAGGTTGGACTGTATATAAAAGCAGAGAAGTGACAGTCATTAGTATCCCGTAGTATGCCTGAGATTTTGGTAATCATGGTTCACCTATTAGTTGTTAGTGTTTTTTAATGTCAAAAGGTTTATAAATTAACTTTTTGCATCTTCTCAGCAGCAAAAAGAAAGAGATTTTAGCATGGAAAACCTTGACATATATCCACTGGAGTAGTTAAATAAAATAACATTTTATTTTTCTTTGTATTTTCCAATTCGTGCCTTCATCTCCATGCACAATCTTTTCCCTATCAGAAATCTCGCTCTTATCTATTTATTGTGATGGTCAAAACTACACCATGCAGTAGTGCCTCCTATCATCAGCACTGTTGTTATAGGCCTTCTTATCTGTTAAGCTTGAGATTGGAACAAGAGTTTCTAGAAACCATAGCAATAGTGACAGAGAACTCTGCTTATAATTATTTAAGCATATCCAATACTTTAAATGCATATTTAAAACACATAAAAAGTGCAAGGGGTTTTCAAATTACGTTTTTCTTCTTTTCTTTTTTGTAAACGTGGTCATTCTTGACCATCTAATCTACTTAGGCTTACCTTTCACGGTAATTAGATTATTAATTGTTTATTTGTTAATTATATGTGAGAAGGTGATAGGCTTCTTTAGTCAAGAAGTCTGTCACTCTCGAAGTTGAATTCTGTAAATTGTTCCTTGATTTTCAACTCATCCTCCCACGTAGCTCCTTCTTTTCCCCCTTCTTGCCACTCAATCAATACCTGTGGCACCATCTCCCCCTGTTGCTGCTTTACCCTTCTTTGTAGCACTTTCAATGGCCAACAAAGAGGCCCCTCGACCTGTAGCTTTGCTGGTAGGTTCCCTTCCACCTGTTGTGTCCCAATCGCCAGTTTCAACTGGGAGACGTGAAACATAGGGTGAATCCGAGCTGTTTTTGGAAGCTGAAACCGAAAAGCAACTGGTCAAATTTGTTTGAGCACCTGGAAGGGTCCGTAATAACGGGCCGACAGCTTAGGGTGTAATCTTGTAGGCATGGAAGCTTACCTATGAGGTCTGATCTTTAAGAAAACCCAGTACCCCTCCTTTATATTAGATGCCCTCCTTTTCCTGTTCGCATACTGCGTCATTTGGTCTTGGGCTCTGGCCAGATGATACTTCAATGTTGGTTTGCAACTCTTGCGCTACTGCTTCGACCACCGTTTCCTTGGGGATAAACCTTGTTAAAGTGGGTGGATGCCTCCCATAAACTATTTCAAAAAGGGTACATTCAACGGCCCCCTGATACCATGTAAGGTGAAGTTTGCCCCCACTTATATACTATAAATTGGTTTTATCTCTAATCGATGTGAGGCTTCCAACACACTCCTCTCACGCCAATGTATATACATATCGAGCGTGAATTAGACATTAATGGGTGGTCCGATAGCAGCCCGATAGCGGGTGGAACAATATGCCCAACAAACAACAATATCACTAGGATAGGCTCTAACTTGGCTCTGATACCATGTTAAGAAGTGGACTTTAAGCCTAACTCAATCCCACAAAACCGGCTTGTAAGGTGAGGTTTGCACCTACTTCTATATATAAATTGACTTTATCTCTAGTCGATGTGAGACTTCCAACATTATATGTTAGGAAAAGGTTCAAAATTAGAAGTTACAAAACAGTTGACGGTAGTTGGACAATTTATTGGGTGGTTGAAGAAGTTATTTAATCTAGTAAGGGTTATCTTTTAAGGAGGAAACAGTTCCTCCTGGTGGTGCTGTGTATTTTGTTTCAGACAAGGCTTGTCCTGTGTAGAAGGGAATTTCTTCCCTTGGAAGCTATTGGATGTTTTCTTGTATTATGTTTTTCAGAATTAGAGTGTTATTTCCATTGTGCAGTAAGATTTGTATGTTAATTCCTTAAACTGAATTATAAATCTAGTTTCTTGTCTCCAAGGAACCTAACATATAAAGTCTCAAAATTTCTATGACCTCTTGCTCAACAAAATTGCCACAAATCAGCACATAATTGAAAATTCAGTTTCTGCCACTGAGGTTTTTCTTAGTCTGGATTAGTAGAGACATCTTGTTCAAGATGATTATGGTATCCTTGACCAAGAAACCATAACTCCACATAAGCGGACCAAGATAAGTATTTTTTTCTAGTTGAGTTTTGCAGTGGTAATATTAGGTGTAGCAGACATAGAAGAAGTCATTCCAAGAGAAGCCATTCCAAAAAAACGAGAGAGGAAAACCCTAGCTTGAGGGGAAAACCCTAGGTGTAAGCTATGACCACCTAAACAAAAGGACAAATGAGTAAATTAAATTTATGTTGGGAATATGATTAATAACTAGTATGCCAAGTTTACTTTCTTTATCTTAACCATTAAATGTTGTTAATAGTAAATCTAATGATTTTAATAAACTGACTCATCATAGACTATACAATCCATGTCAATATCATAGACTAATGTTTGTGTAAGACGAGGTGTTACATATTTTCATACTAACCCAAATTCATTGTAACCGCAGCTACCCACTGTGCATTTATAGACTATAGTTACAACGTGTCTGGGTGCATACTCATAGAAGCGTTCTTGTTCCTTTTACTTTTCAGGGTCACTGCAAGCAATATGTTTGGAAGGATGCCTGAAAGAATACAAGTACCTTTTCTTAGAGTCATTTGACTCTTGTTTTACTTGCTTGGAAGGTGACTTACTTTTGGCACAATGCGTTGTAGATCTTTGGAGCTACTTTATTGTGGAAACCATTTTATTAAGACCAATAAGTTTGCACTTCTACAACCTGAACTCAATGTTTTTATCACACTTCAAAAGATGCTCTCAGCCTGCAATGGTATCAGAATGAGTTTTCCCAAGGTGAAGGAATTGACCCTTTACTAGCACATGTGGATGCAGTTAATGGTAGCCTCATTGATGTAAAGAATAATTCAACCCTTTTTGATGATGACATTGAGCGTGACATGTGTACCTCAAGTCCCTTGTTCGTGGGTATGTTGGGTCCGCATTTGTTCAGCACAAAATGAAACATGTTATGACCTCTTTGTTTTAATGCAAAACATGAATCTTTTACCCCTTTTGGTAAGCAATGAAAGAGAGCCTATTGTGTTGATTCACTAACTAAAGTGAGCAACTTTCTAGTGTTCTGCCCAACAAGTGGAAGTTGGTTCGTCACAAGTGTGCTCCCCAGGTTACTCAGTATCACATATGGACTGGTGCACTTAAAGAAGTTCTGAATGGTTTTGCAGTTGATTTGGATTGTTTGTCTTCTGGGGCTTAAATAACGATGCTTTTTGGGCGGCCCAAATTGTTCATAGCTGTTTGAACTTTCTGACTGAAATTGGTGTCTTTTCGGATCCCGGCCTTCTTCATGGATGAAGCTTTCATCTTCTAAAATGTTTGATTTCGGTGACCCACAAAATGGGAAGATGTTCTTGTGATGTTCAATGATCTTATTGAATGCTGTAAAAAGGAAACAAGGTTGAAGTTGCATGTAGCTAAGGCTGAGATCATGAAGGAGGGGCTTTTGCACATAAGGGATGTTTCAGTTGACAACAGTGTTGGATATAAGGAAGCTCAGCATCAAGAAAGCCTTGTGAGGAAGAAGCTTTCCAAAATGTTGGGTCACTCCTCTCGCTGCTTATTCACTTTATTACTGTATTACCTCTATGGAAGGGTGGTAGATATTGAAGTAGACATGTGTGGTGGGGTCTATGCAAATGGAAGTAATGGCAAGTTTTGCTTGTTTATGGGAAGAATCCTGACTTCAGATAGTGAGAAGATGATTGGGCGTGGTGTGAAGCAGTTGGACCGGGCACTAGGGATTTTCAAGTTTGTGTGGGAAATGGCTGAAATGAAAGGGCATTTGGACTTGCAGGGCCATATGTGGTGTGTTGGAGCAGACAGTAGAATTCTTAGGTATAGAGGTAACACTTACTTTGTGCATGGAATTTGCCTTTGAATAGAGATTATTGTATCACTGCATCATCTGATCGTACTTCATGGCGCTAATATGTCCCCACTTAGCAGTTGCCTAAGAAAACCAATTTTTATAATGTGTTAAGGTAATTCAATCAAAACTCAGAAATTTTCTTACACAACCATCTCCTTTTAGAATGAACTCTATAGAGTAAAATAATTAGTTTAATTTTTCTACTAGTTACAATTGGATAAATTGTTGGTATTGATTACGTAGCTTTTCTGGCAAACAGAATTATACGGGTTTTTTTTTTTTTTTTTTTTACTTTTCATTGGTTTACTTGTGATGCAACTAATCAGTCTACCTATTTCCAAGACTACAAGGATTAGTCTTTTCTTTGCTTTAAAAATGTTGTGGGATGCCTTATGGTATATTTATAAATCAGGAAATCGATCTTATTTTCCAAGTTGCGAATTTTAATACCTTGGTCAATATTGAATTGGCATTGGAGGCCTGAGCCCCATGTCCAAATGAAAGATAGACCCTTTGGTTTCTCGCTGGGCTCCTCAACTTTTGGATTAAAGGTTGTCACAAAAGATAAAAGTGATTACTTGTGTTACATTGCAAGGTAATAATTTTGTTTTGTTTTCTCAGAATTTTTGGTATTAACTATTCTAACCTGGGGTAAAATTTTGGTCAGTGTTGATGTTTGTGAAAACAACCCTATTCGGTCCATGATGCTAAGCTAAGAGTGAACTCCAATGGGCAAACTGTAAGTCCTGACTGCAAAATTTCTTATCCACTTTCTCATTTTTATAAGAGAAGCTCACCATATTGAAATCATATATTCTTCATTTCATGTGTGTACTCCCTGATTACTTGTATGCTCAAAATGTGCAATACTTATTCATTCACCTAGGAGTCTAGATCAATTTGAGGTTAGGGAAAATGAGAGATAACAGCTCAGTGGCACTGTTGGTTTACCTGCAAGTAACAAGCACACATCTCATAAAGGCATTAATTATGTCAGCATTGGTGTTCTTTTGGTAACTATCAGTGATCTCCTCATTCAAACATAACTATGGTGCCTACTTTGACCATGTCCATGTCGGTGTTTGTGGTCCAGTTCAATTGGTATCAATAAAGAATAACAGAGGTATAGTATTTGTTTGGTAGAGGTTGTAATAATTGTCTCTTTTCAGCTGTTTAATTTCTATTTAATGCAGTATTATACCTTCAAGTTGAGTATTGTACAAAAATTGTTTTACACTGAATAATTGTCTCTTTCAGTGCTTCCATTGGCAACTGCTTAGTGGGGGGCATGTTAGCGCCATGTGAGTATTCTTCTTCTAACAGTTCATTCTATATTTGAAATTACATTATCTAGATCCGAAACTTGCATCACTTGGTTGAAAGACATAAGTTTTTACTACTTGTAATGCGTGTAAGAAAATACACTTGTTTTATCTCGGGCATGTTATCAAACATATTGCAGTGGCCCTGAAAAGTAATAGAATTAGGGAGCACCATTGACAAAGTGGTAGAGGTGTGCGATTGTTAGCGATCAGCTATATTTCAAACACTTTAATTTGGGAAGAAATAAACTACGGCAATGAATAGGCGAGAATCATTCTACTATGGAGCAATTAAATGAGAAACAGAACTAACTTCAATTATTCAGAAGGGATAAACTCTTGAAAAATATTTAAAAGAGGGGGTTTAAGTATGTTCTATGTTCTTAAAAACATTAGCATAATTTTTGTTTTTTTTATTATTAGCTATAGTTAATTAAGTGTTGAAATGAAAAAAAGGAATTAAGAAAATTAATGTAATGATGGTTTTTTTTAAGCTAAGGTAGTTAGATTACTTTTACATGCATAATTAAGTAATGTATTTGTTAATTTTTATGAATAAGATAATGACATAATTTATTTTTAATAAACTGTGAACAATAATTGATATTATTTTTCTTGAATAGTTATTTTTATTACCATATTGTTTACTGGAAGTAATTACACACAATTTTTATTTTACAGTAATATATATTTATTATTTTATATGTAAGGAATTAGTAACAAAAAGATATTTTACCTATTATGAAATAAATATTTTATATTAGTTTTGAATCCCATTATAATAGAAAATGAAAAAAGTAATGATTGTTGTTTTTATTTTACACACAGACACACATATTATATATATATATATATAATTATAATAATTCCAAAAATAATTGAAGTATATTTTGTTTGATAATAAAATCATTGTTTTTTAACTGTGGTATTAGTAGTAATTAATGATTGTTGAAAAAGTAACGAAACATCCTTAAGGAGATTAAGTGTCCATGTTCTATACTTTCTTTTTCTCAACATGATTTATTGTATATGCAAAGTGATATAACCAACACTTTTTGGGTTGTATTTTTGGTCTTGGATTATTGGACCCTTATATTTTTTAAAATGACTATTTTATCCTTTATATTTTCTTTGGATAAAATAAATATTTTATTTCTTTTGTTTGGATAAATAATTGAAATTTTCTCTGAAGATAATATTTCATTTTAAAATTCAAATTTAAAAAAGAATATATTAATCAAATTTAAATAATAAAATAATATTTAACAATTTAATTTTTTTAATAAATGTGTATAAGGAGGGAAGGTGAAATTTTAATTTTTGTCTTTGTTTTAGTGAATTTTAAATTCTATTATTTTATTTATTTAAAATAATTTCCAATTTTTAAAATGATTTGTTTGATGAGAAAATTAAAAGAAAATTAAAATTGAGGAATTTTAAGAAGGTATTTCAAATAATTAAAATAATAAAATTTGAAATTTACTAAAATAAAAAAGAAATTGAAATTTTATAAGTTATGAAATTCCTCATTGGTTAGGATGAAAAGTAAGTTTACATGCCTTAGATTAAGTCCTATCAATATCTAGTTTAGGTTGACTCGGTTCGATTAGGACTCCAAACTAATATAACTTGACTTTGACCAAATTTGATTTGTCTTGACCTTAGCTTAACCTTTTTCCTGAATTGACTTAGTTTGTCCTTTCTATTCATGTTAATGAGTTGGATCTTCGTCTTGGTGATTTGGTTCTACTTTTGGTTTAGACCTAGTAAGTTTGATCTTTTTTTAACTTGTTTTGACTTAGCTTGACTTTTAGTCTAGGCCAACTTATTTGAACTTCTTATTAAGACTAACTAGTCTCAGCCTTTAGTCAGGTCGACTCAGCTTAACCTTTCGAGTCAACTCAGTTTGACCTTTTGGATTTGACAACTGGGTTCAACCTTTGATTCAAACCAACATGACTTGACCTTTGAGCCCGAGTGACTCGACATGACCTTCTGCTTGGGTCTACTTAACTTGACTTTTAACATGGTCATACTCGACTCAACCTTTAGCCTGTGCAGACTTATCTTGAACTTAGACCAAGGTTAACTTGTCTCAAACTTCGAACATAATCAACTAATTTCGAACTTTGGTCAGGTTTGACTCAATTAGAGTTTCCTCCTGAGTCAACTCGACTCAACCTTCACACTAGTCAACTTCGCTTGACTCTTGAACTTAAATTGGCTTAACTCAACCTTCAATATTAAAGGTCGAGCCAATTCAGCTTGGGATGAAGGATGAGTGGGATCGACTATGGTCTAGGTTTAGACGAGGTTATTTGGCTCGAATGTTGAGATGAATCGACTCAAGTTGAAGGTCAAGCCGAATTAATCCGATCCAAAGGTCGAGTCAAATATTTTAAAAATAAAATTTTACTTTTAAAGAGAAATTGATTTGGTTTATAAAAAAAATTGAAATTAAAAATATTTCAATTATTCAATCCAAACAAACAATTTAAAAAAATGATGTCTAAACAAACAATTTGAAAAATGAAGAAAATTCAATCACAAATAATTCAAATATAATATATTTCAATTTTTTAGAATTGTTAAAATTTCTTATCCACACACAAGGGGGAAGGGTATGCTAGTCATGTTAGTGTGGGATGCAATTAGTAATTATTATACAGGTGCAGGAAGCAAAATGCCATCGTTTTAATCACAATTATTTCCATGCTTGTTTTTATTTTAGTTTTTACTGACATTTTCCCGTATCAAATATCTTCTAAACCTAGATTTTATTTTCGTAGCTTATTTCAACTCACCAACATATTAGTAATAAATATCAACAAGTCACAACTCACTATTCTTTTTGGCTATATTTTAAAGAAAAATATTCATGTATATCAAAAATATTTATCAACTTAAAAAATATTATAAATTTATAAAATATATGACGTGATAAGATAATAAAGATAAGAAAAGTAAGTGTTTAATAAGTGTATATGAGATAGAGGTCCTATTTTAACTTGAAACAATAGTATATTTTATGTGTTGGTTTTTGAAGATGAACTAGTCATGAGATGATTAATATAATAAGTCATTATTTTGGGTTTATTTCCTTACATTTGATGATAGCAAAAAATACATTGGTACAAGAAAAAGAAAGAGTAGTCACTAAAATGAAAGGGAGAAAATTTTTATTTAACGATAATGAATATAATGTGAGTAAACAAATGTACATTAAAATTCCACTCGTTTAGCCCTCATTAATATTTTTGCAAGAAAACTTCACAAAATACATTTGTTTCACGAGGACAATGATATTCCACAATTACTAAACAAAATTTAAATCCTACATTCTAACAAAACCCATGGCCTAATATTTTTCTTTCGGTTTTCTACACCACCCCCTTGGGCTTGTGCTCGAGTTTGTGAGTTGTGTTGATGTCAATGTGGACGAAGGCTCTCTCAATTTCTGGGAGATTTTCAAGCTTATCCTGAAGTGCCTCTCCAATGTCATGTGCTTGAGCAAGTGACATTTCTTCTGACACCACAATGTCTACCTCCACAAAGTAATTGGACCCAAATGTGTAGGCTCTCACAGTGTCTATGTGCTTGATCTCCATGTTATGGTTCCAACAAAGATATGTTAGCTTTGCAAGGTATTCTGCTGGTGCTGTTTTACCAATCAATGACCACACATTCTCCATCACTGTTTTTGCCCAGTTACTGATTGTATATAAGGCTATCTGCATGCATTTCAATTGTTCCATTCCATTCATGTTATTACTTTTCATCATAGCCTCAAATATATTCGACATTTGCATTCAAAACTTGTT